TTCATTTTGGTGCAGATGTCATGACCTGTTTCCTTCTGTGCCATCCAGTCATGGAAATGTTATAAAATCCAGTTGTCTTGGGGAACTTAGGGAAATTATATAAAAATAATATTTCTCTGAAAGTAAAATGTTGAAGGGTGATGGAGAGTCACTGAATCGTAACATAAGATGGGCTTCCTCCATCTTTACAGGCTATCCAGGGTTCCAGGCTGCCACTTACGCCAGTCGCACCTACGCTGGCATCACCCCCGGATACACCTACCAGTTCCCTGGTAAGTCCCCAGCACTCCCAGTACACAGCTGCTCAGTGTAAACACATCACATGGTCCTGGCCTTCAAGGAAAAAGAGACAAGTTGCTGTATATGTCTGACTGTGTGTATCTCACTTGCAGTGCATTAATGTAAAATATTTCTGTCCTAGAATTCCATTTAGAGAGGACCCCACTTCTGACATCACCCCACCCTCCTGAGATCACAGGTCAGTCACCTGTGCTGGCATTTACAGGCAGCAAGCCTGGCAGTTAGTGTAATGCTGCCACCCAGTGGCAAGAAACATAATTTCTTATCCTTCTCTATATTGTGCCCAGCAACAGATTGGTTCTGCCTAACTCTGTAAGCTACTTTAAGTGCAAACATGCCTGTACTTACCACTGAGGACACCGAGGTCAAGTCCTTAGATTTTACTCTACTTTACTCTACACTCCAATACCCACGATCCCTTGCAGGGCTAACACTTATGACCTCAGGATTTTAAACATTCAACTACGGCCCTGGATACAAACTAACATGTCTCACCTCACAGCACAGAATGGTGTGCTGCTTTTCAGTTAGAGCAATATAATGTTGAACAGTTTGGAATTTGATGTGCTAATGAAGTTAAAAACATGCACATATTATAATACCGGCCTTTTGGAAAAAAAAAACATTTCTAGCTGCTGGTAATAATTACACGGAGCATGTTTCATATCGGTGTTTCCAGCGCTTAGTTGTACTCACTGCCTGATTGGATGCTTCTGCCATTCTCATTGGCTCCTCTCTTTTTCCGGCCCACCTTTACAGCCATTCCTCTGACAGCTTATGGACCAATGGCGGCAGCAGCGGCAGCGGCTGTGGTTAGAGGTACAGGTAGGGGGCACTGCTGCTCCATTTCATTACTTGTGACTATTTTACAGTTTGGTTTTCTGACATTGAATGTCATACACTAAGGACAGTGCAGTGGCTCATTGGGTAACACTGTGGTCTCACACCTCCAGTGTTACATGTTTGATTCCTGTCCCCAGTTCTGGGTGGTTTGCATGTCTATTTTTGTGTGTGTTGGGGGGGGGAGGTGTGGCTCCGCAGGTCAGGATACTGTGCTTGTGGTCAGAAAGTTACTGGGTCAAATCCAATGGCTGACAAAGTGTTTTCATGCTTGGGCCCTAGAAGAAGGCCCTTAAGCTGTGTTTGCTCCAGGGACTGGCTGCCTCT